CTGGGATTGTGTTGTATTGGATGGGAACCCACTGCGGGGGTCTGTGCATAAAAAGCTGTGTGCCCCAATAAAGATTGTCGAACGTTGTACCCCTGGAACCGTGTGTCGTCCAGTTACTGGGGGGAAATGGGTCTCTTAATGCATTCATAGCGGGGGTAACCAGCCGGGCTCCCCAGGTCCCGCTACACTTACCGTCCGGGGTCTACAAATAAAAAGCAGATGCCTGTAGCGGAGCGGCAATATTAAATCCCACGATCTCTGCTGGTTCAGAAGGTAATCCACAGTCAAGCACTGAAAAGTAAGGCAATATGCGAAATCTCCCAGTAACTGGACGAAACACAGTTCTGAGAGTCAACTGAGGCTTTATTCACAGGCTCCACAATTTATACAATTCCCCATGCAAGGGGTTTCCTGAGTCCTATCCCAGGGGTATTACAGGAGTGGACTACATGGGAAACTTAAAGTACAGAGCATTTCTCCCATCAGGCACTGCTGCACGAGAGGGATCCTCCCACTGGAATGTACAGTTAAGTGGATTATCCCTCCGTGCAGCAGAACCGGCAATTTATATTAAAACGCATAACTTTTCGAATATTAGGTTGATTTGCACGAATGGACGTTCGGTAGATAGCTGGGGTCTGAGCGCATCATTAGTGTGATTACCGCTCAGATCCCAGCTAAAACAACCGAACGCTGCACGAAATACACTTTGCCATCGCGTTCGCCTAAAAGTACCGAACACCGATAGGGAACCACAATAACGAAAGACCAGAGCTCCCGAACGGCCTGGAAATCCAGCGGTGTTCGCGCCGTCGAGTAGACGCTTTTAGTACCACGCGCTCGACGACCAAACACCGCTGGAGGAACAAAGGATCCAAGATGGCCGCGTGGTCGGTAGTCGAACGATGGCCACCTAGGAGAGCCTCTAATTACCGATTGCAACATTGCTTTCGGCAGATAGCTAATGCAGGCAATACAATATTATACAATCACAGTACATTACACCCAGGAACATACACATCACCAAAACCATACAGGCAACCCTTAAAGCCATAGTCTCTGTATATTGTCCAAGTGGCTAGGTTTGCCACAATGCTCCTCCAGAACCAAGCCGGCATACACAGTCTGATCCCAACGGATCAGCTTGGGGATGTCCGGAGGAGGGCTCACAGATCACTTCTCCAGGTCAGTTTGTCTAGATAACCCGTCGGCGTTACCGTTTTGCTTCCCAGGGCGATAATGGATTGTAAAGTGAAAAGGCTGCAGGGCCAAACTCCAGCGCAGCAGCCTGGCGTTGTCTCCAGCCACACAGTTTAGCCACACCAACGGGTTGTGATCTGTGAGCAAAGAAAAGGGTTGCCCATAGAGGTATGGTTGTAACTTTTTCAGAGCCCACACCACAGCCAGGCATTCTTTTTCGATGGCGGCGTAGCTCACTTCTCGGGGTAACAACTTCTGGCTTAAATAAGCTACAGGGTGTTCTCCGCCATCTGCTCCAACTTGGCTCAGTACTGCTCCCAATCCAAACATTGAAGCGTCTGTGTGGACAAGAAAGCGTTTAGTTGGATCAGGAGCAGCAAGTACAGGTGCATTAGTTAGAGCCGTCTTAAGTTGGTGGAATGCCTGTTCACACTCTGGGGCCCAGACAACCTGTCTGTGTAAGTTCTTGCGCGTCAGGTCGGTCAAGGGTTTGGCAGGGCACTGTAATTGGGCACGAATTTTCTATAGTACCTGGCGGTACCCAGGAAAGCAAGGACTTGGGTCTTGGTCCTAGGGGTGGGCCACTTAGCTACGGCTTCAATTTTCCCTGGCTCAGGTTTTTGTTGCCCACTTCCTACCCGGTGGCCTAAATACTGCACCTCGGCCATCCCTATGTGACACTTGCTAGGCTTCAGTGTCAGTCCTGCCTCTCCAATACGATCTATTACGGCCCCTATGTGTTGTAGATGCTCGGCCCAGGTCTGGCTATATATGGCAATATCGTCCAGGTATGCGCATGCATAATCCTGGAACCCATCCAGTAGCCGATCTACCATCCGCTGAAAGGTTGCCGGTGCGTTCTTCATCCCGAATGGCATGACCCTAAACTGATACAGGCCAAACGGGGTGACAAACGTCGACTTGGGGATGGCATCCTCGGCTAGTGGAATCTGCCAGTATCCCTTACATAAATCTATGGTAGTAAGATACTGGCCTCTATCTAGCAGCTCGTCTATCCGGGGCATCGGGTAGGCATCAGACACCGTTTTGTCATTCAGCCTCCGGTAGTCCACACAAAACCGGGTTGTACCATCCTTTTTGGGTACCAGGGCTATCTGAGTGTTCGATAACCCCTAACTGCAACATCTCAATTTCTTTTATCATGTGTTCCCTGACGGATTCAGGAATCCGATATGGGGTTTGCCGCATCGGTAGCTGTCCAGGGGTCTCAACTCGGTGGGTGGCCAGCGGAGTGTACCCAGGCAAGTTGGAGAACGTGGCGCCTTTTGCCGCTATCAACTCCTGTACCTGGGTTCGCTCTTGAGGGCTTAGCCGCTCCCCCAGTTGCACCCCCTTGGAGGGCTTGGCTTGCTCGTCCTGCTCTAGCAGATCCGGTAGTGGCAGATTCTCCTGATCCTCCGAGGCGGGCGTGCATATGGCGGCTACGTCCTCGGTTCTCTCGTGGTAGGGTTTGAGCATGTTCACATGCCCTAAATGGCCCGAGAAGGGAATATCGTGAGCTATCCTCAAAAGCTCCTGTCTATATTTTTGGGGAACTACTAGCTGCTTGGTTTTCACTGTGCCAGAGCCCCCTATCACTCTCTCTGCTACCCTGTATAATAGTCTTTTCTCCCAGATATACCGCTCCCCCTCTAGCCCGGCCTGATCAGTGCGTACTCTATCCCAGTATACCTGTAATGTGGGGTCTGTCTGGACCTCGGCTTCAAAGGTGGTCGGGGTGTCCCAGGTCATAAGGGTCAAGGGTGAGTCATGGTCTCTTACCTGAGCCTCAGAATGTGTTGGTGGAACCGTGGTGCGAGCCTGTTGCCGAGTGGTCACAGGATGGGCCTCTTGCAGAGGGGCCTGAGGTACAAATGCAGAAGTCATCCAGCCCAAGTCATTCCTCAATACAACATCAGCGGGTAATTTCTTCATGATAGCCACTTCCACGACCCCCTCCCCAGCACCCCAGTTCAAATGCACTTTTGCAGTGGGTAGGCGGTACATTGCTCCCCCTGCCACCCGGACTGCCACAGACCCGCCAGTGTGAGCGGTATCCGTAACCAAATGTGGAGCCACCAGGGTCAATGTGGCTCCCGAGTCACGTAGTCCCTGTACTTCCTTGCCTCCCACAAACACAACTTGGCGATGATGTTGCCGGTTGTCAGTGGCCTGTACAGACATCACCTCATGTAAAATGCCCAGGGGTTCCTTAGTCCGTTGAAAAATTGTTCCAACCGCATAATTTGGTGCAGTTCTTCCATGGTGGTGGCTTGGCTTGCCTGTATCCACCCCTGCTAGGCTTGGTCCAGCTTGTGCGCCCACTCTGCGTGCAAATCTTTATCTGGTTTGCGCAACCCACGGAATGTGCGCCGATATGCCTCTGGCGTAATGGCATACCTCTCGAGTATGGCCCTTTTTACTTTGAAATAGTCTTTGCTGTCTTCCCTAGGGACAGCGCAATAGGCCTCTGCTGCCCATCCTGCCAATTTTCCTGCTATTAAGGGCACCCACACTGCCTGCTCTAGGTCGTGCAGGTCACATAGTCGTTCAAAGTCTTGCAAGTATCCGTCAATTTCATCCTTCTCCTCACAGATCACTTTGAAGGCATGATAAGGTATTTTTGGTTTTACCTGACCGCAGATGGAGGCAGTAATGGATTCTGCCCTGGACGGTGCCCCCTGGTGATGTTGTGCCATCATATATTCCTGGACATCAGCCATCAGGACCGTCAGGATATCCAGGGGTACTGGCTGCGGTAAAAACTCCAGCCGGGTTCTCAGTTCCCTTTGGTACTGGATTTCTTCCCTGGCTGGTGGGGGTGTGCTGTTGTGAGCTTGGTCGCCCTCCTATCAGTTCAGCGATCAGCACGGCTTTAGATTTGTTGCTAGCTATCTTTCCTCTCGCTTCCAGCAGTTCTTTCAGTGTCTGCCGTTTTAATGTAGCATAATCCATCTCCATTCACTTCTGTGTTCGGTTCTTTTGTTGCATTCGAATTGCCATTCCCTTTTCCTGTTCGGCAGTTTCAATTGCACGAACCACGCTTTTCGGCTGTAAGGTTGCCACCAATTGTAGCGGAGCGGCAATATTAAATCCCACGATCTCCGCTGGTTCAGAAGGTAATCCACAGTCAAGCGCTGAAAAGTAAGGCAATATCCCAAATCCCCCAGTAACCGGACGAAACACAGTTCTGAGAGTCAACTGAGGCTTTATTCACAGGCTCCACAATTTATACAATTCCCCATGCAAGGGGTTTCCTGAGTCCTATCCCAGGGGTATTACAGGAGTGCACTACGTGGGAAACTTAAAGTACAGAGCATTTCTCCCATCAGGCACTGCTGCACGAGAGGGATCCT